CAGCCAATTAAATGGTATTTTCCAGGATTAACCCACGTTTTGGTAGGAGAAAGGCTTCATTTAATGCCAACATATGTTATCTCCTCTCTTGACTGAGAAAAAATTGACAACTTGGTTGAAAACAAAGTATTTTTCTCTGTGACTACAGGTACCTCAAACCATAACACTTTCAAGATGTTTCCAATCATTAATCATTCCGGCACAGTTGGAGGGCAAATCATTTACTACTGGCTTGATTTTTAAGAGACTAATTAAACCATGCTAAAAATATTTGAAAATGTGAAAAAAAATGATAAAAAAAAATAGATTGAACCCCGACTATGTGTCACTATTTGTGGCTGGTAATACTGCTGTTGCTTTTGGGTTATGTCACACTCTGTAGACAAATCAGTAGAAAGAAAGAAAGAAAAGTTGTTTCTAGCTTATTGCTCTGTTCACCACAAGGCCAGAAAAACATACTTTAATTAAATCATCATGTCATTTGGAAAAAAACTCAGACTCTCTTTCTGATTATCTCATTAAGTCGTCTTTCTCAACAAAAGTTTCAGACTGAGAAGAGAGCTTGTAAAGGACACAAGGAGCACAGAAGGAGCACTTGAAAGGACAGAAATGTTCTCCATGAAATGATTGCTTGTATGCAACAAAGGTGAAAGGATCGTGTTTTCTTGGTTTTAGAAGTTACTTACCGAAATTGAGTGTTGTCAAACACCTATGTTCAAATCCCATTTTCAAAGATAATCTTGTTGGGTGATAGAGATTTTCATGCCAACATACATTGCTTTTAGATTGTGCCGAATGTACAAAGAGGAAAATTTGAAATTTCTTAAAAATTTCTTGAAAATTTAAATATTCTTAAAGGGTGTGAAGTTGTGTACGTAGCTATTTGGCTGAGTATTTCTGTGTATCACTAGTTTTCTATTGGGAAATATTGTTATATTCTAGTCTCACCTTCTTGCTCTTCCAATTTCTTTAATGTACCATTGTGAACACAGCACCGAAAAGAAAATGTTTTTTATACAGTTGGACAGTTTGAGAAACTCTGCTTCAAACATATTCCATTTTTATTAAGTTTGTAAGTGTAAGAAATTTAAATTACACATGTAATGTGCTCTACAAATCTACTTTTGATAAGCCAAACATAATGAAATCTATTAAAGCTGATAATGTCTTTTTCTGTCAATGCTTTTAAGTTTATAACTGAATTTTGCATCAGAGAAATTTTATTTCAGAAATAAATAAGAAATAAGATTTCCATAAAATTTTCCTTCATGTGAACATGTAGGTCCATTTTTCACTATAGAGTTGCCTCTTACTTCTTTTCAAGGAGGATGTCTGTTCAGAAGTGTGGCTGCTAGGGAGCATAGCTACAGTTAGTATATTCAGATAAATGTGAATACAACAGGAAAAATCTTGAGTCTGTTCTGGTGGCATGACAAAGTGCCTGCAAGACAAGAAAACATGGTGGCAGAACACTTTCCTGTATTTGAACCTGGCATCATTTTTTGAAGAATGCAATTTCACCTTTCTGCAACTGAGAGGCTGAAAATGTTTATTTTAAATTCTTCTTGTGTACGTTGTAATAATTGGAGATGGCTAAAAAAAAACAAACAAAAAAAAAAACAAACAAAAAAAAACAGGTAAAGAAAGAATCAGATATTAGCACTAGTCCTGGTGTCTTGGTAGAACATAAGGAACATTGTTAGAGCTTTAGGATGTAGCTTCAACTGAGGCCTCTTTTCATTGAAACCTTGGTGTCTTGCCTGGGTACTCCAGTGCAACCACTGACTTTCACGAAGAACTTTCATTGAACATAGGCATTCATGTAAATGGTAGGTATTATATAGCAAAGGAAAAGCATTATTTTGTACATTCTATCCTATCCTATCCTGTTTTATTTTTAAGTTGTGTGTGAGACCAACAAAGGAGCCTTTGTTCTGTCAGTTTCTGTTGGGCACTGTGTTTGAGATCACTGTGCTAGCTTTGTGCAAAGCAGCATATAGAAACTTTTGACTTCACTGAGAATTGAGTGTCTGTTTTCAGTGAAGATAAAGGTAATTTTGCTGTAGTGTGCATAGAGCTAGCTCTGCTAGAAGTGAAGAACTGAGTTTCAACTTAGAAACTAACCTCAGTCTCTTCCTTGTAGAGTGAATATATAATACTGTACCCCACTGTTTGCTCAGTTGAAAAAATATAGTATAAATATAGGTATATGTATTTACATATTTATATAGGTATATTTATATACCTATATAAATATAGGTATAAAGGATGTACTGATCCAAGATCTCCTAAAAAGAATTAATGGAGAGAATATAAACCATGAAATTGAAATTCAGATATTAGATGGAAACGTGCTTATTTTTACTGAAAAAAATTGTTTTGTAGGGGCAAAATTTTTGTTCATTCTCATTCAATGTTGTAAGTACTTAAAAAAATAGAGGTAAAGCGTTGAAAAAGTAAATGCTTTACTTTCAAACTTTCATTGGCTTTCCTATTTAAAGTATCACTTTGCTTTTCACGACCTATGTTTTTAAAAAGAAAAGCATATTTTTAACAGATTAACTCACTCAGAAGATCTGTGAATCTTTTAATTTGAGCTGTAACATTTTTATTACAGTGAACAAACCTACAGTAGCTCTTTGAGGAGATATTTGGACTAATGGTCATTTCTGAGGTGTTCTAACTGTGATAATAAATGATGGAAAAGCAAAGTGGAAGCTAAACAGTGATGTTAGAGCAGCCCTGCTTCTAGGCCAATGTAATCTGTTTCTCAGACTGAGTACTGTACTTTGAAGGAATCCACAGAGTGGTACTTGCACTGCTTCTGGTGCCCAATGTGCTCAGATCAAATCTAGCTGCAGTACCTTCTCAGGACACTTCTCAAGGGCTTTCTTTCCTTCAGAGAGAGTGAAATCCTGAATATCCTAAATCCTAAAATTCAAAATTCCATTAAATATGTACAATTTACCAGAAGGGAATTATGACTTCTTCTATATTTAGTAAACATTTGGCAGTCAAAATAAAGCATTCATATAAAATAATCTCAAATATGAATATTATGCAAAAGCTTGTCCTGTGAAAAGACAGCACCATCATTAGCCAGCTGTATACAAATGATCTTTGATTCTATAAATGTTGATTCCCACATGTGAGCTAAGAAAAGCTGTTCTATTCACTCAGCATTTGGAGAAACCCACAGACATATCTGGCGTATGCCTTACTGTACAAGCTGAGTGTGTCAAAGTAACTCCTGTCACTGGTCTTTCAAGGATAAAATGATAGAGAGTTCAGTGTAATAAAACAAGATCAGAATTCTGGGTACCAATAAAGATGTGCTCTGTGTAGTATATTGCATCCGTTAGGTGTGTGACAATATCTCATCTCATTGAGATGAAAGAAGAGTCTCTTCAGATTTAAATCTGTCAGCTTCACGGAGAAAATAAAGCTAATACAATGAAAAATAGCAGTGAGATAGGCTATGAAGAAAACTGGTCCTTAATTCCTTTGATGCCTCGGCTTTAATTCCTAAGGTGATCGATGGATAAATGCTAGCACCACTTCTTCACCTATTGATCATTTGCCATTTAGAGATGAGAGGCCCCGAGCATGTTTAGAACCAGGATTACAGTGTCTGTGAATTAGGTTTCCTGGTGTTACAGCATCAGCTCTGGAAGAATGGCCTGCCAAAAATTTAATAGAGCAGGGGAACCAGATGCTTTTAGCAAAAATGCTCTCCTCAGTTCAGACTATAGGTTCTTCTCTCTATAATGTAGAATGCCGTTGGTTTAGTAGCATTTATTTTTACAATAGGGAATCTATTAAATGAGAAACGTGGGAAGTGAAAAATGAAAAAGCAATAAAAACAAGTTCAGAGTGATCAAAAGTAAAGACGTTCTAGAGAGCCTAAATTCCGCACTGTTTAAATCTACCAAGAGTGCACGTACCAGGTGACCTAAGGAGTTTACTTCCCCCGATCTACTCAGCCCTGCATTCACCTGCATGGCAGAGCACACATTTTGTGTCCTATGAGCAAATGCCATCCCTGTGGTGGATGCAGGCCCCCTGCAACACTGAGAGGGTCTTTTGTGGCATGACCAGGCGTTTGCACAGGATTCACAGGTAGAGCAATCTGGAAGCAGGACAGGAAACATAAGACAGGCAAATGCAAATGTGAGCTTTCCTGGCTTCAGATCACCAGAGATCATGGTCCGAAATCTGTTTTTAACACAGCTTATTCTATGGGTTATTAAATGCATATACCAGTGTGTTTCTATGTTCACTTACCACCAGCTTTGTATGTACATCTGTCTGTATTTCAATTTCTGCATTATTATACCTGGTGTGCTTACTTAGTAACAAAACAGGAAACATGAAGTGAAAGAAAGGATGAGATTAATGTAATGCAATTAGTATACTCAGGGCAGAAAGTTAGTGATTGCACAGCTCTTAGCACTTGAAATACATGAGGTGCCTTTAATGAAAAAAACAATTTTGAATTCTGCTGTAAAAGTGTGGTTGAATAGTTGGGAAGAAAGAGAATTATTAGTTTATTGAATTTGCCTACAAAACAAACCAACAAAAAATGTGCTGCAAAAATCAGGGGAATTTGCCATTCCTCAACTTACTTGTGTTGTTCATTTTTCACACCTTTCATTGTTCTGATCTATGACAGAGATGTCTCTACAAATTGTATCTTGTAGTTGTCTTTTCAGATACAATGGAAAAGAACGTGCTAGTGCCAAAATTATTACTGCACAGGTTCAAAGTAAGGGAGGTGTTTAGCCTGTCTTCAGAAGTAACTGGAAAAATAAATAAATAAATAAATAAATAGTAAGAATAAATCAATTGTATTAGAGGAAAAAAAAAAGAAAAAAGAAAGAAAACATAGCTCCATTGGCCTGAATGTATCCTGTTCCGCATCTGGATAGACTTTATCGAAGACCAAATGTAGTGAGATGTATAGAACTGATTTCAATTTGCATATCATGCTTTCATTGCAGGAATATCAAATTGATATATTTTTTGCTCAGACGTGGACAGACAGCCGTCTTCGCTTCAACAGCACCATGAAAATTCTGACTCTAAACAGCAATATGGTTGGTTTGATCTGGATCCCAGACACAATATTTCGGAACTCCAAGACAGCAGAAGCACACTGGATCACCACCCCAAACCAGCTCCTCCGAATATGGAATGATGGCAAGATCCTGTACACCCTCAGGTAAGCATTCAGCATGCTTCTTGCATTTTTGGATCTGGAGTAATTTCCTTGTTCTCCTCTGCTGCTTGATTCCTGATGTTTACCTGACATTGCTTGATAAAGAGTGAAATATTCCAGTATAAATACTGCAGAGTTTAAGCAAAGTCTCATCTTTCTGAAAAAGAAACTGTGAATCTAGGAAACAAGTCTATCTAAATTGTGAAACTCAGGTTCTTATATTAGGATTTTTAATAAAACTGGAGCCATTGTAGTTCCATAAAACCTGCCAGAAACCTTTCTGATCAGAGTTAGCTGCAGAACCAGATAAAATATTTCCAGATTCATGATAGTGTCAGTACTTGATTCTTCAAATAAGTCACACTGAAAGAGAGTCTGTCACATCTCATCGAAGTGTGAATCGCTGGAGGAAAAGCTTTTAGAATTTTTCTTATCTTCATAATACCATCAACTACATGGTATTAGAAATAATGTATAAATTTGCATAAAAAGAGCCTGTGGAAATCAAAATATGTTTATTTATTGAAGAGATGAATTACTCAGAAGGGAGTTCTACCATAAGCCAAACTCCACAGGGCAGTTTTTCAGAAACATGGCTTTGACGCTACATTTTCTGCACTGATTGTTCTCAGCATTGTGGTTGCTCTTCTGATTGCCGTTGGGCTCCAGTAGCAAGTCCTTCAGAAACAGTAGTAAGTTGAACAAATGGAAATGCTACTGAAGTTTTTATTGCCTTTCCCTTCATAGGTTTGCTCCATGGTGACAGAGCTCTTGCTTATTTATGTTGACAACTTTAATCACCTCTTCTCTTTTTTTTCTTTTTTCTTTTCTGTAGTTTTATTTCAGTTCTTCAGAGCAAGTTGTGTCTCCTTAATATTTGTTAGACTTACATACTTACGTAAAAAACTGTTTGTCATACGAGCTGCAAAATTTCCCTAAATCAGGTAAAATAAATGAATAATGTTTGACCAAATGGGTTGTCAGATTGGGTATTTTTTTAAGTGAGAAACTGCTAGAAAGATCATTGATCACTCTGTAATTAAGAAACAAGTAATTTGTCTGACTTTGGTGACCACACAGAATCAGCATGGCATGGAACCAGTAACTGCATGTCTAGGTTCTATGTAGTTTTGATAAATATTCTGCATTCAGGAGAAGGTGCCATTCTGTGTATAAGGCTCAGACAGGCTTATTTCCTTTTCCTCCTCTTGCCTGCCTACTTTCAGGTGTTAATCTTTCTGTAACACTCTGAATTTTATTCTACAATCAGTTTAAAAACAGAAGTTCCATTTAAGTGACCTTTTGCAGCACAGAAGTTTTCTCTGAGCCACACTAAATCTCATATGCAATTTTTCCCAATCCAGTTTGTTAGCTTTTGATTATTAAATAAAAATAGAAAATAAAAACAAAGCGCCAAGAACTGAAAAGACCTGTCTCTCACACACACATAATTTCTGGCATGCATGTAATGTCTTTTTCCTGAAAAACACTCAACAATAAACTAGCCCTTAAAGCGAAATGCTTGTGTAAATAGATTCACTTTGCAGTGTTTAAGATTGAAGATCATCCAAAAGTCAGTTTTAAATCAAGTCCACACATAGTGTCCTTTGTGCTAGGATATCTCATAAAAGAAGCTTTCAAGTGCGACTGTAGAGATATCTTGTAGGTTTTTGAGAAGTATTCCAAAACAACTGAACAGATTTTAACTTCACACTGTACGCAAATGAAGAGAGGATTCCCTATAAGATTCTTTATTAAATTTTAATTTTGTGGAATTACATACACACACATCATCTGTTTTGCTGCCAGCTAATTCCATCCCATTTTGTTTAATGATTGTCTCAAGAAAAACATATGCACAGATTTCTTTAGATCAGAAAACTCTTAATCACATTTTTGAAATTATTTATGTTTCCCGATAGTTGCTGTTGTTTTGGATTCAGCATAAGGAGCCTTTGGATGATCTGCATTTTAGCTTTTCGGGCCTTATAGGTATCAAAGCTCTTGCATGACCACCTAAAGCTGCTCAGCCTCCTCCTCTGTTCATGCTGCTGAGGTGCAGTGACAGACACCTGGTTTCTCTACAGGCTTACCATCAATGCTGAGTGCCAGCTGCAGCTACACAATTTCCCAATGGATGAACACTCATGTCCGCTGATATTCTCAAGCTGTAAGTATTGTTTTTACACTTCATTTCATTGTAGTTTGTGAGCAGCATGTAGAGGTATGAGATTATTTTTTATTTCCGACAGCTTTTTCTACCATTCTGCAACAGGTCCAGGAAGCTTAGGTTTGCTTAAACACTCAGGGGATTTCTTTTCCTCCCTAGCATTCCTGGTAGAGAGATTTATGCCATGAAGATATCTATGGATTTAGCCTATTATTCTTTGCCAGAAACAGCCTTAATCAGTTGATTAATCAGTCACATTTTAACAGGAGCAGATATTCATTCCAGTCATTGCTATGTTAAGCTACAAAATCATGTGACATGTAAATGAGAAGACAAATGGCAGTTTTCTTGAGGAAGCCTGGGGACCAGCTCAGTTAGTCATGAACATCTGAGTTTATAGCAAGTAGCATGGTAATGCATCTTTTCCATAATCTAAATTAAGAGGTGTAGATACTGTAAATCCCATTTCACTTTTGTTGCTTAGTATGTCCTTCAGTCCCAGTATTGTACTGTATATAGCATTGGTATATTTTAAACTCAAGCAATGAACAAAACAAATACATTATTGAAATGGTGGAAAACAGAAGTCAAGTGAGTTTATCCTGAGATCTCATATTTCTGTCAGAGAAAGTTCTTTCCGTGCCAATTCATTTGATTGAGTTCAAGAGCTCAAAGATACACCCGCACAGTTTTGTAATCCAAAGTTATACAATAGAAATGTTTTACAAACACTTTTTAAAGGGTCTCCAGTAAAGTTTTTTCCTTAGATAAACTCCAGGTTTCAGGATCTGTGTTCTCTGGAAATAAATGGAAATGTATTGTCTTTCTACTTAGAAAAAAAGGAATTTTCTTTGCCATCTCTTAAACAGCGATAGAAGGCTAGCATTGCCTAGTGTCTTTATGATAAATACACTGCTTTGATAGAAGAGCATCAATTTCCTTTTATGAATAATATGCAAACAGTGCCCCTTAGTTAGCAGCTGGATCTGGATTTCACTGATCCAGGATGTATTCTTGTTCTTGTTTTTCCTCAGGAAAGCACTTACAGAAAATCTGGCAGTGTAAACATCATCCTTCCCCAAACCCATTATCACTGTTTTGCTGGTTTGTGTTCTACACTGATAAGTGAGCCTGGGTAAAAATACACAGTTGTGTGCTTAGTTTGGATGTGTGGAATGCATACTCAACTGGGCAGGAGGCAAATACCTCCTGAATGAGCCTTCCTGCTAATAAATATTTGTCACTGATCTATGCATGCCCCAACTATGCCTAGTTACTGCATGAAGTTGCTCTTGCCTTGTGGCAAACTACTGCTGATTTGTTGCAGTACTGGCAGAGGAGTCCCATTCCAGAGATACTAATTAAATCTACCACATAAAATTGATAGGTCCTGTGTTAGCAATATCCAAGGAAGGTGGACACTAATAGTGAAGGAAGCCACTTCAGACCTCCATTAATCGCTAGGAAGTGCTGAATGCTAGTAAGCTCTGCTTCATGCTTTTCATTTAAAGAGATGGAGTATCAGTGCCAACTTCAGAAGGCTTAACTCCTTGGCAGTTTCAAATTACATCCTGATTTGAAGAGATTCCTCCTACAGATCAGAGCCCTTCTACCCCTGAATACGTGTTGCCATCTAGGAGATGGAGATTACATGGGATCAAGCAGAATCTGAATGTGTCCCAGTTCAATGTGCATTCCTTAGTTTCTTGTCAGATGGAATAACATATGGAAGTATATAAAAATAGTAACTTATAGTTTTCTCAATCTTTTGGTCATGTTAATAGCAAGAGTTTATTTTTTTAAGTTTATACTAAGTTTTGTTCCTTTCCTTGAATAAGTTTAGCGCTACTATGGTTGTAGGACATCTCCAGTCTGAGCTTTTTTTTTCTTTCCCTAAATCTGTTGTATTTTCAGAGTTATGTACATTCATAGCAGTTTCAAGATACATGGTATGCAGTGGGGCTTATGAAGTGTATGACTGAGTGAGTGCCTGAATGATTTATTACTGCCTGCTCTGACAAGTTTCTGAGCAGAGAAGTTTATTATGGATTCCAAGACATATGTCCTTGGATGAGATAGAAATGGTGCATAGCACTCCTTTCCCCTGCATCCCTTTTGTTCTTTCTCCTTCATACAGGCAAAGATTTGCAGCTTCCAAAGTAGGTAAGCACAAAAAATGTTTTGGAAAATGTTTCCTGTGTGTCTACACAAACAAAAGCAAAAGTTAACATCTGATTTTTTTTTACCTTTTATATGAATTTCCCTTGATGGTTCAGAAATGTGAAAAGCTAAACCCAGATTGTTTCTAGAGAATTTTCTTCTAGTGCCAAATAATTCACTTCTTAACCCTTACATTGCTCTGGGAACCGCTGGTATTCCTTGGGTGGAAATACAGAGCTCTACGTGGTCCATTTACCAGGATGAATAAGAAGAAAACAGCAGTTTATCAACAAGAGACCACCTCAGTGTGCTGAGAGAGCTTACCAAAACCTATCTACCCCCTTCCTATTGAAAATCTTGTGGAAGAGGGTGGTTTGGAACATACTTGCTATCCTACTCTGAAGTGATTTTTGGGTGTGTTTTTGGCTACAACTAAGAAACACCACCTTAGAAGGAACACCTCAGGGACAAGCAATAATAATTTGGAGAGCATCTCTGCAGTAACAGCTGACCTGATCAGCCAGTCTTGCTCAAGAGCCATTCCTGGAGCACTCCAATCTCTTTGCTTACAGGAATTAGAAAGTATTGAAATAGTCTGAAGACTTTCTGTCATTACAGTTTTGTACATTTCAGGTCAGACTATGAGATGAATAATCCGGCCTATTCAGATATATGTTAGGTGAGAATGTGTTATTGCAATCGTTATGTAAATGTGTGCAGCAGTGTTATGCAGAGCTACTGTGCAGTGTGACAGCACTTTCACAGTCTGTGTGCTGGACTGATCTGAACAGCCACGTGATAGGCAGGTTTTCTTAGTACAGAGATGCTGTGACATTGGCATAAATGTCAATGTGTGGTATTAACATGCGTCCTTGCGAATAGGAATTAAAAATCAATTATATGACTTCATACCAATGTAGCAAACATGGTACCATTGACTCTAGGTGCTCCAGCTATTACTGCTTAAAAATGTTCCATCAGAGTGGTTCTCCATTCTGGTTAATTTATCTTTTTGAGCTGAGGGAGACTGCTGTGCTACTTTGGATACTCAACTACCTTGTTAAACTGTGTTGGTGATATACATTCAGCACTGATTGGGCATTGTGTAAATAACCTAATTTTAGTATTCTGCCAGAAAAGGTAGTTAATTAAGGTAAGTAGGATTCACGTGAACGTTGATAAGGGAGAAGAGGTGTTCTGTCTGAAGGACAAAGCGCAAGAATAAACGAATAAGACACAAGAAGCAAAATGCAGGCTGAAATGAGAATTGTAATTCATTGTGGAACTCCTGCCATAGGATAGCAGAGATACTAAAATTTTATAAAGATTCAAAACTGTTTGGGCAAATCATTGGGAACACTGGTAGCTATTGAGCAGAAAGAGTATTAGCGTATTAGTGGCTCATATATTTTGTTGTTATTGTTGTTCTGAGGGAATTAGAGAATTTCAGATTAAATACCAGGCAGAAGAAAAGCTGAGGAGTTGATTGCAAAGCGGCCCACTGTCTATTCATTACCAACTCCAAGTTCACAAATGCCTCCCTGACTGTATGGTCAAGCTATTCAAAGGACACCTTTTCCACTAGGGTTGCAATGCAGCTGGTGCATAGTTGGCATCTATGGTTTTGATTTATCAGCAATTTCTGGGACTGTTGGATTTTCTTGAACTTCTTCCTTTTACTAGGCCCATTGCAGAATATCATGAGCATGTTTACACCTACATGTGCTCAACAATTGTTTGAGCTGGTAATTTTTCAGCCCAGCAACAAACCTTTGCCTCTTATCCCCATCCATGTGCTCAAGATTATCCTAGATTCTTGACAACCCTTCAAGAATACAGAATATGAGAGCCATACCAGATGCAGTTATGCTGAGCTGCATTGCAAGATGCAAGAATAGAAATAATCATACTGAGTTAGTTAATTGGGTTTTGTTGCTTTCTTTTTCTTGCTGCTGTTCTGATACCACTATTTGTTCTAAAAAGCACCTCTTATTTAGGCAGTAGAATTGGAACCATTGTAGCAAATTTTATCTTTTCCTAAGTGAGAAGATCCGCAGCTCCTAAGTTGACATTATTGAAGGATTGGGGCCAGGCAGAAAAATGTGGGCATCCCTGGAAGGCCATTTTTACTATGAACACTTGAACATGCGCACAATTGTTCATGAACAATCCAAATGTTTTCAGTTCAGTTGAAAATACAGGGAAGCAAATTTGCCAGCTGCAGATGGGTTGCGTGCTCAGTCAGGCCTTAAAGCCTTCAGTACCTTCAGTGTCCTGAAATTTCAAGAATTTTTTTAAGTGACTTACAAAAGCATGTAAAATATTGCAGCAAAAAGGTAGGAAAATATGAAAAGTATTACAAAAAAATCTAACACGAAAAAAATGGTCCTTATTTTCTAAATATAAACATGGTTCAATCAAACGTTACCCCTTTGAACATGAAACCTTATGGATATGCAATTTAGATGATCAGGAAGTACTTTGAACCTCATGTTATTAATCTGCCAGAAGAACTGGCTGTCATCACTGCTTTTAATATGTTTCTTTATTATTCCTCCTAGCCTAGAAAATCAAATGCTGTTTTTGTGGTATAAGCTGTGCTTTGTTTCATCTCGTGTATCATCAGTAGAATCATTAATACAGTCTGAAGGCAGAATTTTCTTCCTGATGAAGAACAGGCCAGAAGGAACACTGCTTAATGTTCATGTCTCAGGGGTAGTAGCATTAAAGATGCTGGGAAGGACTTGCGATGTGCAGAAGGAGCTTTAATCCAAATGTAAACTTCCCATCTGTGCTCTCTAAAATGGGCTAAACCAGGTCGTGGGGAATCAATGGAATTC